AGGGGGAATGATGCGGGAAGAAAAGGGTTACCCACACCTGCCCTGGGCTCAGGGCCATAACTGAAGCCTTTTTCATGAAGGGCCCTGGTTGGCCCTGCAGAGAGCCTTCCTTATATCCTTGGGCATCCCTGGGACTTTGGCCTTCCTACCATTGTTAGGAGACCGACCCTGGGCAGCCTCCAATCTTTGTCATTCTCTCTTGATTCCCGTTCTGCACAGGGCTCACCACACCAACAGACAATCAGGGCAGGAGGGCCCTCAGAGGCCATCCAGATCCCTCAGAATGGAAACTGAGCCCCGAGCAGGACTGGACCCCAGGCCGTGCCTCTGACAGGAACAGACATGGCCCCAGTCCAGTGCTTTTTCCTAAACACAGTGCTGCTTCTGCCCCCTCTATTCATTCTTTAGTCCAAGCCTTCCTGGCAGGTTCTGCTGTTAACCCTGGGGGTGGGGGTAACTGCCTTCCACCAAGGCAACCCTGAACCGCCAGTGCTCCGCCTTTATCCAACCACCACCACCTTAGGCTGAGCAGGATGGTATACCAGGCTGGTAGGTGAGCAAGGCTGGAAGGAAGGGTGGGAAGGGGCCATTATGCTGCAGGGACCCCTCCCACGGCTGGGCAGTTTTCCCCAGTGTCTCCCGACCCCTCCCTGGCCGGGCACTTGACTTTCTCTTGCCCTCAGTCTGCCCCTCAGTGGAGGGGAAGGTGGCTGGCTGGCCGATGAGTCTCTTCCACACTCCATGCTCCTACCTGAGGCCATCCAGCGATTCTGCTGTTGACCCAGAGCTGTCCTTTCTTAGCCAAGCCTGGGATTCCTGGCACTTTTCATGCTGCCTGCTCTCCCAGCGCAATTAGTGGTTGGCAGAACTATCTCCTAAGAAGCCCGTGAGAATATGGCTCATCCTTGGGGGGCAGGGTTAGATATATACAGTGAAGTGAAGTCCAAAGTCACCTGGCCAGGTGGAAGAGGGGTTAAGAAGATTGTGCCAAGTATGGAGTGAGTCCCTGCTCACTTGCGGGTCTCCTTCAGGGGGCTCTGCTCCTCAGGGCTGGCACACAGGGGCATTGATGGATGGACAGACAATACATGTTTTGGGGGTGAGGGGCACATGCTGGGCCTCCTCCACATTCCTTGGGGCCACTTTCCTGGGAGAACAACATGAGGGCAGGGCTTAGCCTCCATTTTACCCAGTGGCTGATTCTGGCTAAGACCAGCCCAGGCTCGCCCAGTTGCCTTCACCCATGCAGTTCCCTCCCTCTCTGTCCCTGCTTTGGTCCAGGGCTGGCAGCTCATTGCTGCTGTGCGAATCTGAGCCTGGGGCCAAGCCCTGAGCTTCGGGGCTGTTCCAAGCCCCCAGGTCCCACTGTGTGCATGTGGAGGTGGGGGTGGGGTGCAGAGGTGCAGGAAGTCAGAGGTAAGACCAGCAGATAGGACCTGGCCAGCCTGATCCCTGCCCTACCCTGGGCTCTGCCAGGGTAAGGTAGGGCTTGAGTGGCTGCCAGAAGACCAGGGGGTCTGGGATCTCGAACTGTTAACCCCCTGGCCAGTCCTGCCTGACTCTCCTCTCCTTTCTTCCCTTGGTTGCTCCTCCCCAATCACAAAGGTTCTCTGACCACACCTTTCAGACCCAGCACTGGGCTCCTCTGGGCAGCTTTTGTCTCCCACCCTACCCTCTCCGCAGAGCAGTCTGTGCCTGGCAAACCCTAGGCTGATTCTGTAGCAGGGAAAATTATAGTGTCTGGAAACAGTTCACTCCCCCAGCAGCCAAGGTCTGAGGTCTCCTTGACCTTACAGAGACTGTGAGTTCAGTAAGCCCCAGGTAGGAAGCCAAGGTCTCAGCAGATCCCCTCCTCCCCCTGCCTACTCACCACACCTCCACATCCAATCTGTCCCCCCACACTGCAGAGCCTGCCGCTGCTACATCCTGGCCCCTGGCCCCCTTTCCCCTCTCCCTGGCAGGACCCATGTCCACCATATCTTAGCAGCACATTGCCCCCTGCCTCTTGGCTGGCCGCTCCCAACCACTCTCCTTTAAGTTCTGGAAACTTGTTTCTAAAGCAGGGATGCTTAAAGCCTTTGCTGACTCCAGTAGTCTGCACTTAGTGTGGCCTTCAGTGCTCTCCAAGACAGGTTCCCACCCACCTCCCTCGTGTGCCCTCTCCTTTCCTTGCCACTTCTCCTTCAGCGGGAAACACTGGCCTTCCAGCCCACGCTTCTCCTTGCCTATCACACAAGGGTCACTTTTGGAAATCCCTTTTTCCCACTCCACTAAGACTCCGCAGGATGTCCCAGCCCCTCTCTAATGCATAATGCTGCTTGTCACTGAGCTGTTTCTTCCACTTGCCCCCTTGAGAGCTGGGACTTGGACCAACTGGCTGGGTGCTGGGGCCCTGAGCATGTGCCAACAGGGAGGGTAGATTTCACAACTGGGATGGAGACAGAAAAAGGGAGACCCAGGACTAAGGGTGGCTTGTGTACTCCACAGATCCCTGGGAGAACTGGCATTAACCAGGGGTGACCAGCAGCCACAGAGACTTGAGGTCCAGGAGGGAGCCTTTGTCATCAGCCTGGAGCACGGAACACTGACACACTTTGGCTCAGCAGAGGGGCTCAGCTCAGGTGCTGGCATCCATCGAATCAAGGCCAATGTCTGAATATGCAGACTTGAAGGACATCAGAGACCTTTAGAGAAGGACCTACTGAAAATCAGGGGACAGGCTGGAGAGGCTGGGCACTGCTCCTGCACCACAGCAGTACCGAGACTCACCAGCCTCTCCCAGTGGAGACCCCCCAGACCTGAGCCGGCCAGCCCTGTCCACTCTGCCCCGTGGTGCTTCCTCAGATCCCATATCTTGAGCTGAGCTCTGGGCACAGGGCCAATCCAGCCTCAGACCCCCTCCTGCCTCTGCCCCTTGTGTGGCCCAGGCAGGCTACAGGGCATCTACTCAGTTTCCTTGTCTCCTTCATTAGTTTCCCATGGAGACTGAGACCTGTTTCCTCTGCAGGGAGTAAATTCCTCCTTTCCCACCTACCCCATTCCTCAGCTGTGTCCCAGATGATGGCCTGAACCCTGGGGACCTCAAAGCTGCTGCCCTTGGACCCTCTCCTATGGCATCAACAGCACCCCAGGCGCTGACGCCTGCCTGCCCCAGGACATGGCCCTGGACTCTGGGTCTGAGACCCCTGGAAGCTCTCTCCAGGCCATTTTGCAGCCTGGCTCCCTTGAGCGGCAGTGGCCCCCAGGATCAGCTGCGTCCCTGTCCTCTTCCTCCTGAGATCCCACCAAGCCTCATTTGCAGCACTTTAAGCTGTGGAAACTCCCCCTCCCCCAGCCTTCCTATCTGAGCTAACCCGTTCTCCCCTGCCTGTGAACATACAGATTGTCCCCGCCCCTTCCAGGACTAGCTGTGTGAACCAGGGCAAGTCTCTTCATTTCCTTTGAGGCTAGCTGTGCCCAGTTAAGCAGGACTAACCACACCTCTCCCCAGGGCTGATGCGAGGATTACCTGTCAAAGGCTGGGCATCAGTTTTCCCACACATCAAGGGCACTGGCAGAGCTGGTGGCCTTGCTATAACTCTCTGACAAGGTGGGAGGATGCAGCCACACCTGCATGGCCAGGGCCATCCCACTGCCAACCATAAGGGAGCTGGTGATCAGAGCAAGGGTGAGAACTGGATGGGCTAACTCTGGGTCACAGCCACGGAAGCATGGAGGCATCCAGGGAGATACGTAAGATGTGTGTCCAGGAGGAGGGCAGCTGATTTAGGAGGCTAGAGCTCAGGAAACAAGTGGTGGAAGGATGCATAGGCTGGACAGGGCCCTGGCCTTCAGGCCCAGACTTGTGCTGTCAGCTGGCTGGCACAATCCTTGTTCCATGTATTTATTTCCCCGTTGGCCTCCTTCCAGGTCCAGGAAGCCTGAGAGTTGAGACCTGCTTTGGCTTTACGCCTGCTCCAGATTGTGTTATCCCAGTTATCCCAACAGGGAACCCCTATAGGGAGGGGAAGTCCGGAAGCTGGGTGGTGTTGGGGTGTATATTGTGTGTGTGTGTGTGTGTGTGTGTGTGTGTGTGTTGTATGTGCGCGCGCGCACAGACCAGGCTCTTCCCTGAGGGTTGCTACTCCTCCCAGGGACTCTGGGAAAGTAGGGCTGTGGGTTTAGAAAAGAACATGGGGGTGTCTCAGGCTCTAGGACCTTGTCTGGGGAGACAGTGTGGGGTCTCTCAAGTTCTTGGGTACTTGAGACTGGGCTTTAAAGCCCCCATCTGCTTTTTCTCTTTCCCAGGTCCCTCTGAACCCTCTTTGGGTTGGGTGAGAGGGTGGTGGGTTGGGTGAGGACAAAGGAGAAGGCCAAAGGAGGTGTGACTGTTCTCACCTGGGCCAGTTAAGGCAGGCCCTCCTGGACCGACAGCCCTCCATGTAGGGTCTTTGCCTCTCTTCCACCAAAACCTAGGCCACGCTTCCCTCACTCTCTGCAGGGCACCCTCAGGCCTGAGAGCCCAGGCCCCAATGCATGGGCATTCGGGGGGTTGGGGGGCCCTTTGACTAGGCCCACCTCCTGTTAGAAAGTCACCTGAAGCTGCCGTACCTCCCATACCATCTACATGGTCCTGTCCCTCCCTGGGAGGATAAGGAAGTAATGATGAAGTCAGTAAGGACTCTGCGCTCCCAGGCAGCTCCCCTTCCCTGGCTCTGCTCTGTCCCCCTTCACCTGACCCTAGCCTAGGTGTCCCTGAGTACCCAATCCTGGGCCCAGTGCCTCTCCTGGTTTCTCCAGCTCCCACACCTGGCCTTTGGGGTTTTAATTGCTGGTTACAATCATTACTTCTCTCTTAATGTACAAGGGACTAGAGGGCAGGGCTGTACCCTGTTAATGGACACCATTGTACCCACAGGGTCCAGCATGAGGCTTGGCACACAGCAGGCCCGAATGTGAGGAATATGTCAGATAGGTGATGGCGCCAACCCCCAGGCCTCTACACACACCAGGCAGTGGCAGGCAGTTGCTTTGAACTTTATTTGAGAAAAACAGAACATAAAGGTATCAAAAGAGCATACAGGCTGACAGGTGGGGATGGTCAGTGACGGCTAAAGGGGGGTTTGAAGCAGGGCTAAGGCCTTTACTTGGCTTCAGGCTGCTCGGATTTTCCAGCTTCTGGGCCCCCAATCTGGGCACGAGCCTCGAAGGTGACAGGGATGGTGATCTCTGCTGACTGTGTGGCTGGTTTGGGCATCGGGGCCTCCACGGTGAGCGTGCCCTCAGGGGACAGGGAGGAGGAGACCAGGGTGGGGTCCACACCAGGGGGCAGCCTGGACATGCAGAGAGGAAGGACAAGAGTCACAACACAGGTAAGTAAGTCACTGTGCCCTCCTCCCACTCCACACCATTGGGCGCCAGGACTCACGTGTATTTTCGAGTGAAGCACCGCGAAATGTAGCCATGTTCATCCTGTCTTTCTTCGTGCTTGCCTGGGGAGGGAAGGAGGTCAGAGGGTGAGGGATGGGCCAACCAGCAGCCAAACAGGCCCCACCATATGGCCTGAACTCAAGGCAGACGAAGCCTGGCAGAGGGATTTGGTGGTCCGGGGTTGTCCTCAGAAACTTTTGGAAAATTCGGTTTAGGACTTCTGGGGGGAGGCAAGGGCGGGGGG